AAGAAAAATCATTGAAAAAAAAAAAAATAAAAAATTGATACTCGAAAATAGCTAACCATATTAAGAAGCCGTAGAGCGGCTGGCCGTGTAAACTTCCTCCCGAAAAGGAAGCACTTCAAAGGTTTCCCCTTACTATTGCACCATTCTCTTCTATACTCGGTTTCGTAGTAGATGTTATCTATGGCCTGTAAAGTATTGATCGAGTGTCGATCAGATATACAAATCATTTTCTATAGTTTTTAACTGCGTTCGCAGTAAGGTAGGCTGTTGTTAGACAAGTCTAACATTTAGGCAATCAATAATATAACAAGTCAAACCAGCCTAACGATTAGACTGGCTCATGTCAATGCAAGCTTCTCATTACCAATTAAAGCTTGTTAAGGTTAATTTCACAAAAATCGAGACAAAGCTAAGAAAAAATGTTACCTTAATCGATTGTATAAGGTTTTGGGTAGCATCGGCTAATCTATAAGTCACCGGATGCCATCCTCGCCTCTGAGGATCTCGACTAGACGAGAAGTCCCAAGAACTATAAGTCAATGACCTTCGAGTAATCTCTTTTTCCAAGCCTTTTTGCTTAATATATATAAGCAAAAAATAGTTAGATTCAAATCGATAATATTACTACAACCTATTATCGTTCGATTATTTGGTCCTATCGACTAAAATAGGTTAACTTACGCACATTAAGCAAAGTCTGAACATAATGTTCATCTGGTATACAATTATGTTCCTTAGATGCATCTGTAGGCTACACGTAAACATAATCGACAAATAAACCATGAAAATTAACTTAAAAAGAGGCATGAAAGTTGAGATAAATGGAGAGAATTAACACTTACCGGAGAACTTTCCCTCCAAAATTCAGGCAAAGATCTTTTCTGTTTGTTTAAGGACAAAAGTAAGAGAATGCTCGACCGATTTTAGCATATTCAGTTCATATAAGGAAATTTGACGAAAAAATAGTGCAAAGCAAAGAGAAGACACAAACTTGCCTTACAATGCAATTGAAACATAGGAAATACAGTTTCATCTTCAACCACAATCCGAGCATGTTTTCTGGTTAAAACAACCCACTACACGAACAAATTACTGTAAGAAAGAAGCTGTAAAATCGAAACCGATGAATGGATAGATTATATATCGGTCGAGTTTTACTAAATTTAGAAATAAAAATTAATTATACATCACCTGAGATCCTTTTCGCCAGGTGTCGACAGGAACCACCGGATGCATTTTCGGATTGTAACGTCCTTCTTTTGTGTCAGCAAAGCTGCAAACAAAAATCGAACAATAAGATAGTTTTCTCATAGGATCAGTGTTCTAAAAGTCGCTAGGCGCCCGCTAGGCGTTCGACCAGCGCCTAGCGCCTAGAGCGCCTAGTCGGGGCCTAGGAGGCGCCTAGTCGGAGCCCAAAAATTAATATTAAATACCTTAATTTTTATTTATTTTAACTACCTACAAAATAAAACTATCTCAACTTATAGTAAATTCACACACCAAAGTTCAAATAATAATATTAATATATATTAAAGAAAACATGAGAACAAAATAATGTAATTAGTATTTAAAAAAATAAAAAAAATAAAAATAAAGAACTGAAAATTTGCCGCCGAGCCCGCCTAGGAGCGCCTAGGTCCGCCTACGCCCGCCTAGACGCCGCCTAACCGCCTGGCCGCCGATCCCGCCAAGCCCACCTAGGGCCGCCTAGACCGATTTTTAGAACAGTGATAAAAATTATGACGGGAGACGTGGATTATGTTTCCATAGAGCGAGGAGGACGGTGGTGAATCGGGAAAACNAACATAAATAGAAAAAAAAAAAAGAAAAAAATTGCCGCTTACCTATCGACAAAGCTAGTCGAAGCAGACATTATATAGTCATATGTATAACTGAAATTGTACAAAGGTATGCAGCTGCAAGAAGCAAAAAACGAATTTGGGGTTAATTTACTGCTTTATATTATTATCCCATAGCCAAATACAATTTAACACTACTTTAATTAATTAACCTATCCGAAAGGAACAAAAATCGCGTATTAGAAGGATCCATCAGCGCGTGTCGAAGCAAAATACGCTCTGCCTCGATCATGCTTGCTTCTCCCCAATCTACCTAATGAAACAACATTTGCTATGTAAATGTCATGTGAATTCGATCATTTATCTAGTTATTATTCGTTCGGAATAAAGTGAAAATGTAAGTATATAAAAAAGTGAAAACCTGTATACTATCATTGATTTGGCGGTTCAAGAAGAACGTTGATCTTGTTGTTTTAGTGTTCAACACGAATCCAGGCCTCGAATGAACGTAAATCGAAAAGCTATTCTCTGCATCACCCTAGATTAATTACAACATTTAATATTTTCATAGATAGAAATAATAACTTAACTAATATTTCTTCAGGACATAATGAGGATGTAACTAAGATTTCTTCAGGACATAATAAGAACTATCAATATACTTTGCACAGAAAAATTTCACCATTTTGTGCTAAAATCTGTCTGAAAGCTGTTCTGAGATTAAACTAGAAGAATTTTTACAAAATCAAAATCACATCGTCACCTTTCTATGGAGTTCTTCAAATACATTATTACACAATATGCGAAAAAACTAGAAAAAATCTGGGATAAAATATAATGAAGAAGTTGCATATAATGATATTAAACCAAATAAAGGAAATGCAAGCAAATTGCAGCTATATATAAATGAATTAATATTATTTTTGATAGAGAAAAAACAGAAAAAATACCCGAAAGAATTCATCCCAGACCATGTCGAGTGGAATCCGGTTTCGAGCTAGAAAAAGGAAAGCAATTTTCGGCTTTTGCATACTCGGCTTGATCAGCTTCAGCATTTTGATTCTACTGCACTGTGACTCCATCAATGCAAAGATTAAAAAACAAAAAACGAGCAATATAAGAGTAGAAAACTTCCTCTTCCATCTGTGGTGAAATTTCCTTGAATTCGACCTCTGTTTCATACTCATTCTAAATCACCTCCTCTGATTCAGAGCACTAACTTAACCTCGAAAGCTCCAAAAATGTCAGGGACACTTTTTTTGTTCCTTGACAAGAATGGAATAACTAAACACAACAAACCACAATACTTAAAGAAAAAGCAGAATGCAGTGACTTAGTTTTTTCCATGAGAAGAATGGAATAACTAACCACAACAAACATGTACCTCTGCACATTTCTCTTAGTTATTTTTGTCTCTATTTAATAATGTCTTTAAACTTTGTGTTAGATCTTTGTTAGTTGTTATTCCATTAGTGAGGTGATATGTTTGCATCAAGCACATGGGTTTGGTATATGCTATCATATGGTCTTGTTACTTGAGTCTTATGCAACCTAAGATTTCATGATATGTATTTTTAATTCAGTTTTTCATTGACTTTGAATAAGATAATATTGCTTTTGTTGTAACTTTAGATTATATCCATGGTGGTCTCATTTGATAAATATTTTTAGCAAACACTTTTTTTTCAAAAAAAAAAATAAAAAATAAATTCATCAATCTTATCAACCTAACTTAATTAATAAAAACCAATCATTACAACACATTTTTCAATGAAATTCAATATTCATCTATCCGGATAATTTTAATTACTAATTATTTAAAATTAGTATTCTATTATTTTTATATCATGTCAAATTTAACCATTACATAATTTCTCATATGAATTCACAAACCCAAAAGTAAATTCATCCAAAATAGTTTTTTCTTATTTTTTTAAGTACTCTTTTACTGCAGAAATACTTTTTTCCAAAATAATCTATATCCAATCTCGATAATATTATATATAATTTATATACATATATCTTTATACTATTATAGAAACGTATATGTATAATATTATACTTGTATGTTTCTGAAGTAGGTAACTTAATTGAGGATTTTACCTCTGTTATTATATCGGATCAGACCTTGGCCCGCCCGTTTAAACAGTTGTATTTATACGGCTCATTTTAATACAGGCCGATTTGTCTATCCCAGTTTAGCCCGTCGGCCAGAGAGCGGATTGGCCCATTTTATTTTTATTTTTATTTTCTGTTTTTGTTTAATGCAGAGCCACAATCTCTCTCTCTCTCCCCAGTCGCTTCCTCTCGCCACATATCTGTCTCCACTCTCCCGGCTAGGGTCGCCGCCGCCTAGACGTTAGTTCACAATTCACAGGTCTCCGCCTCGCCACGCATCGCCTTAGAGCGGCCCGTACAAGCCGCCCGGCTCCTGAAACTGTAGAACTCGGTCGGTTTCAGCTTCAGCTTTAGCTTCAATCAAGGGATCGTGCTCTCAGCAAGGTGATTTCAAAACTTTTTTTTTTTTTATTTCATGAAACCCAGTCAGTCTTCGCCCCTATTTCAGTCTGAAAATTTTATTACAGCGATTTTATTATTTTTACACCTGATATTAAAATTCATCTTCAAAAGACTTACAAAAAGAATGTGGATGTTGCTGTATGTTGAATATCCATGGGCCTTTGGAGCTGTGATCAATGGTTTGAGTTATATCGACTTCATTAAACCCACTAATCTGGTTCTCTTTTTTTATTTTTGTTGATTTGATTGAAGGAAGATCGCTAGCTAAAGACGGGGCCCACTGTCATAAAATTCTAAATTTGTTTGTGAGCATAAGAGTGAAATGAAGATTTGAAGAGCTGAAAATGGAGGTAGCAGCATCTTCTTCAGTCAGTCCCAGCAGGTATTTTCTATCCGTCTCCAGATTAAGCCCTACGAATAGAGGATATACTGTGATAAACCATAGTCGTGCAATTCCTAAGTTTGTGAAATTGTGCCAAGACCCCTTGAAAAGCAAATATTCACACTCAAGGTTATGTCTGGCCTCCACGAATGGGGGTAGCTTCAGGAAGCCCCTTAAAGGGGTTGTTGAAGGTGATGGGATAGTCATTGTTGATCATGGCTCACGCCGCAAGGAATCTAACCTTTTGCTGAGTAAGTCTTTTCTTCTATGCCTTAGGGTTTATCTGCAAGTGATTAATAGGGAAAATTTGGAGGCAGTAAATCATATTTTTTTTAATTAAAATAGTTTTTTACTGCTAATTACACCAAAATGGTGATTTACTTCATATGAGAAGCACCCAATAGTTATATAGATTTGTTCTTTTTATAGTCTTACTGAAGCAGGTTTAATTTCATGTTGTGTGTTCAGATGATTTTGTTGTCATGTTCAAGGAAAAAACTAAATATCCAATTGTGGAGCCTGCTCACATGGTATCAAATACATATTGATCATTTTGACAATTAATCGCTTGGTTATTTTATTTTTTTTTTTTTTAATCATTGATGAAAAAAATTGTTTATTACTAGGAACTGGCTGAGCCATCAATCAAGGATGCTTTTAATTCATGCGTACAGAAAGGGGCGAAACGTGTTATTGTTAGCCCTTTTTTCCTGTTCCCTGGAAGACACTGGCACCAGGTAAACTAAGTGAATACTTGGATTATAATATAATTGATTCAATCCTTTCATATTTTTTTTCATATTCTTTATGCCCTGAGAATCTCGAGCGTCAATGGTAACTGAAATGTACGGTTGCATATTTTTTTTCCAGGATATTCCTTCTCTAACAGCTGAAGCTGCAAAGGAACATCCAGGGATAACATATGTCATTACTGCCCCTCTTGGTTTACATGAGCTGCTTGTGGTATGACCTAATCTATATTCTTGTGTGAACTACTGAACTTTGCTTATCTGGTTTTTCTTAATTCAAATAAACTTCATCAAGAATGTTGGGAGGTTTTTTGTTCTGGATAAATGACAATATGTGGCAGTTGTTAGTTTTTTCTTTATACTTCCGTGGACAACTAGCTGATAAGCTAGCTAACTTAGCTGATAGGTTAACTGAGAGCTTTTAAGTGAATTTTGAGCTTTTAGCTGATAGCTTATAACTTATGGCTGAAAAGCTAGGTTATATGATAAAAGTGTGTGATAAAATTAGTTGATAAGCTAGCTAAAATAAAAATTTTAACGGGCTTATTTGAAAAGTTACCCAAGGAAGTTTATGAGATGAACTTGGGCTTTTTCAAAAAGCTGGTCTTGCCAAATCAAGCTTATTTGATTTGCATGAAGCTTATAAGCTACCTTATGGTGCATACCAAACACAAACACACTCACAATGCATTTCGTTTCCTTATATGAAATGTGGGTTGCATTTATTCCCTTCAATGTGCTAACCGTAAAAAATCCATTTTACATTTAGAAGTATAATGAGCTTAAAATGTATTTGCAAGGATACTGCAATATTAACAACTCCCTATACAATTGTTGTCACAGGATGTGATGAATGACAGAATCACTTATTGCTTGAGCCATGTTTCTGGTGAAGTAGATGAGTGCTCAGTATGTGCTGGAACAGGAAAATGCCGTCTTCAAGATTAGTCGAACACTTTTTTTTTAACAGTATGTAATGAATTTTCTGTCCAAATAACACTATTTCTAGGATTAATATTTAATAACAGATCAAAGTCTACACAATGATACGCTTTTAACCTATTTTCATGTTTTCTTCACCCAGTTCCAAAATCTGGTGAAGCTCTGAATCTTGATTTCCCTATACGCACTTTCACGGGCTTCTGCCTGAGCATGTGTTTCATCCTCATCAGTGGATTTTTCTGCAAAATAACATTCTCACATCCTTTAGACCTAGCAGAAAATAAAAGCCGAACTGCCAATATTTAATAAAACCAAAAGAGTTTTGTCGATGAATATTACCATGTCTCAACTGGTTTTCTTCTTCTTGGTTCTTCAATTGTTTGTTGAATGATTTTGCAGCCAGGAACACACTTGCAGTCCTTTCCCAGCCCTGCCCATATATGCCATAACCCGATTTTTGTTGTGGCTGGATTAAGTGCTCGAGAACTGCCAATTCTTCTGTATTAACCCAGTGAATGCAGTTTACAGGACAAGAAGCAACTGATATCTGTCAGATAGCAAAACCCCCTTTCTTATCAATAAAAATTACTGTAGAAAAATACTGTAAGACTCAGAAGAATGTATGCATAAGATCTTGCCCAAAAAAAAAAAAGAATGAAAGAAGAAATTCTGCAAAATTTTAATCCAAATCAAGGAACATTTGCTTGACTTGTTGAAATCAATAACTAGCAAAGAACACCTCTATTTCTGCAGATTTTTCAATAAAAAACAAGAAATATTTTTGCTTGACTTATTGAAATCAATGATAACTAGCAAAGAACACCTCTATTTTCTCATAATCATCGCCATACTGAACTTTGACTCTTGCTGCTCCAAGAACCTCATCCATTATGAATGTGTTGCTTGCTTGGTACACACATTCTCTACAACCTGAAATATTTCAGAGCTTCACTTCAATTTACCGTGATTTTCCACTCCAACCTCTAGAAAACTTTAACATTTCAATTTTGTTTTTATTTTTTTTTTACCTATACAGGCATTTTCATCAACAAACAGAGCTTCAGGCCTCAAAGGACCTTTCCATTTGCTGCCAACACCAACACTTAGTTTACCAATTGATGAGTCATATTCTTTTCTCTTATCACTCATGAGCACTTTGTAAGCTTTGTTTAGCATCAATGTGCTCTCATGGCCCTGAAACTCAGATTATACATACTTTCTCTAACAAGATCTTTAATGAAAAAAAGCTACGCAAAATTTAGATCAAACACGGAAAAAAAAAATCCACGACCTTTTCCCCAGCAATATCTGGGTGGTGTTTTTTCTGCAGTTTTCTGTATGCATCTTTGATTTCTTGAAGGCTTGCGCCACTCGAAACTCCCAGCAACTCGTAGTAATTTTGGTTTTGATCGCTTAATTTGTCACGAACACAACGGACCAAAACTGGTTTCTGTTTCCTGTTCAGTTAAAAAAAAAAGATTGGATTTTTTTTCTTTTCATTTTTGTGACTTGAGGAACAATGTATAATGGAAAATGAAGATTTTTTTTTTTTTTTGGGTATATTTATGTTGTTACCTCATGGGATTATTGGAAGTAAAGTGAAGATCAGTTTGTGAAGGATTTGGCTTGGACAAATGTTGATGAAATGAAAAAGTGGCCATCATTTTTTTCTTTTTCTCCTTTTTTTTGGTGTGATTATTGTTTTGCGATTGCCTTATATTTGGGTTGGGGAAAAAATCAGACTAGATATTTGTGAAGTGGTGCTTTTTGCCTCATCTTTTTCAAATTTTCAAATAATTACAAACAGCAAACATCTTTTTCAAACAATTACTAATCGACTAAATAGATTTAATAAAAATGAGTGGAGCCAAGCTTCTCATACTTGAGAGTCCGAGCTCGAGCTTTTAGCTTGCTGAATTTGGCTTGGCTCCATCGTAAACTGAACGAGCTTGGATTGGATTTGTTAATATCAAAGAGTTTAGTTCGAATTTTAACGGTTCAACTTATAACATATTACATAGAAATTCATATTTTGGAATTTTAACGAGCTTTAAACAAGTTGTTTTTGTACCTCAAAATTATAAATTAACAATATATGAAATCATTCATTCATTCATAAATAAAAAATATATATATATTTTTGTCAGTGATGTACCTTAACTAATTGTTAATTAATCAGTGTATGATTGTTAAATTAAAGTTCATTATCATTCAATAAATTGATTTCGGTCAATAAACGAAAGCCTCGAGAGTCGAGACACGGAATCGTGGCCGTAGAGGTTTGGCGCCATTTGTCATGTCATGACGATATCCTACGATCTCACTGATCGGTTACCTCTCTCGACTGATGCACTCGTCCGCAGACGATCAATACTCATCTTCTTCGAGACCCTTCGGTCTTTCGAATTTCTTCTGGTTATCAGCCGTCGGTAGTTTGTACTGTGAAATCCGATCACTGGAGGAACTTTAAATTTTGAGGTATGTTCCCTTTTCATATTTGGATTCGAAAGAAAAACATACACCCATTTTTCGTGTTCATACTTATGAACTTATTTATTGTTGTTAAAATTGTAGATCAATTAGAAATTCTAGCTCCAACTTAATTTAGTGTTAATTTCTTTATATTTTCCGTTCATTTTACGATTTATTGTTATATATATTTAACCATTTCAATAAATTTGAGCTCACAAGTTGGCCAAAGCCCACGAGATGAAACTCATGAGAACATGCTGAATTTGAGAAAATTGCGCCTACAAATCTTTTTTATTTACACGTTTAAAAAGTTTTATTTTCTTAATTGTAAATATGCTAACTTTCATGGTTTATGAATGGTTGATTTGTATTTTTTNCATGTATGATTTATTTTTTTAATATATTTTTGCAACCAACACAACAATTTTGCTTAGCCACTTCAAGAATGATTGTTGATTTGTGTAATTTTTGTTATTTTTTTTTTAGCTTTTATTCCCTGAGAAAATGGGTGGTGGCCATGTGGTTTATAAGGGCCCAAGCATTATGAAGGAGATTCTCATCGGGATTGGGCTTGGGCTGGCGGCCGGAGCATTATGGAAAAGGCACCATTGGAATAACCAGAGACGAACTAAGGAGTTTTACGAAATGCTCGAGAAAGGTGAAATTAGTGTCGTGAGGGAGGATGAGTAGACTCTGATTTTCCTAACTCCTTGCTCGTTTAGTCAGTGTGGTATAAAATCATAGATAAACTGTTCTCTCTTATGTGTTTATTCTGTGTTTATTTATTCGCCTTCTAGCTGGGAGAATCTTGAATTCAAAGTAGTTGTTTGTGGTGATTGTAGCATTTGAATTATCTGTTTCGCTCATGTCGTGTTTAGGCTGTTCGATCATTTGAATGCTCTGTTTTATCGTGAGAGTTGAAAAAGAAAAAAAAATGTAAGTAGAGGATGAGCTGTTAAGACAATTTGATTTGCTACGTGCAAGATAAACTAGTGAAGAAAATTGTGAGTGCTGACTGAGACATAAAATATGATCATATAATTGTCGATTTGGTTAAAATTAAAATTAAAAGTAAGTCATCCATCTCACAGTTCTCACTGTATAAAAAAAGAAAGAAAAAAAAAATAAAAAAATTGATGGTCACCAGCAAATTACAGTAGGGTAACTTCTCCTAAAATCCCTAAGTGCCTTTTCAATTTCCTCCTCAGTCCCCATACCTTTATTTCTTCCTTTCAACTCCCTAATTCCTTAATTTTCTTCCTCCTAACTCCCTAATGTTAAAATTAAATCAAAACTAAATGATTTATTACATCATTTCACTAACATATTATTTTATTTGTTTTGTCTTCCACCAACCACTACATATAATAGTATTTTATTACTTTTTGTTCAATCTTCTTCTACACCCTATCTCCCTCCTTCCCGTCACTCTCCCGTCTTCCTCTATTTCCGGCGACTGCTTCAATTTTTTTCTTGCAGGTCGGTCTCTCCGGCGACCCAAATCCGGCGAGAAGAACTCCGGAAACGACAAATCCGGCCAAAGAAGTGATTCCGACGTCAAATTTGTGCGGCCAAAAATTCATTTTCTCCGGCAACATTCGTGCTTTTTCCGGCCAAAATTTGAAGTAGCAAGTAATATATGTATTATATGAGCATTTTGGAGTCCAAAACTCATGTTTAATTCGTATATATTTGGTTAATTTGTTTGGGATGAATTTTAAAAATTGTTGTTCATATTAACCCTAAATCAATTAAATTGATCAAAATCTCTTATTTCTTGTTTATGTATACGAAATTGATGCTATTGTTAAGTTATGTAATGTGTTATTCACCCTAAAACAAGAAAATAAGGTGGGAATGATCACTGTACCACTATTCTTGATTATTGTACCTCTGTTTGCATGTATATAGTTCCACTTTAATACTGTTTTGTACCATATTTTCCTGGAAAAATGTGAAGTTTTTTTTTATTTATCCAAATATTGTTAGATACATGGAAGGGGCACAAAGTGATATACTAGGGAGTTGTACGTACAAGAATGAATTGTTTATGTTCTCTATGCACATTGGAGTCCAAAAATCATGTTTAATTCGTTATATTTGGTTAATTTGTTAGGGATTGAATTTTGAAAATTGTTGTTCATATTAACCCTAAATCAATTAAATTGATCAAAATCTCTTATTTATCGTTTATTTATACGAAATTGATGCTATTGTTAAGTTATGTAATGTGTTATTCACCTTAAAACAAGAAAATAAGGTGGGAATGATCACTGTACCACTATTCTTGATTATTGTACCTCTGTTTGCATGTATATAGTACCACTGTAATACAGTTTTGTACCACATTTTCCAGAAGTTTTTTTTTTTATTTATCCAAATATTGTTAGATACATGGAAGGGGCACAAAGTGATATACTAGGGAGTTGTACGTACAAGAATGAATTGTTTGTGTTCTCTATGCACATTGGATCAACGCTTGACGAAGTGTACACTTTCATATCAAAGAGGTGGCCGAACGTTAACTACGACCATAATGTGGCATCTTCCTCGTTACAACATGATTATGCCATTCATGCCCGGATGTACGATCTCAACTTGGACGAAGGAAGGAAAAAAAGTTTCCTTCACAAGTTGATGTTGCGGTGAGGTAGTGTAAGCGTTGTGGTGGTCGTTGACACATGTGTGTTTATTGTTTTGGGCAGGTGTGTTGGCATGTGTTCTATTTTTTTTATTTTTTTTTTTGTCGGAATATGTATTTTGTTGATACATTATTGACATATTCCGAGTATGTATTGTATGAATATTTTGCGAGTAATGCTGCAGTACGTACAAAACATGATATAAAAGATGTTTCATTTTCATATGCATTCACAATTCTGCATAGGTACTTAAGAACGTCAAACCAGGTAACCTTCTTTCACAATATAAGTACTAGTTTTGTGGACATATGTGTGTACTCATTTTCATTCCAAATAGTGGGTAGTAAATGGCACTTTATAAGTAATATTTTTGTACAACGGTGTAGTACATTTTCATTCCAGAAAGTTGGTACTAATTGATCAATAACAGTTACTTCGTAGAAGAAAAAGCGGTATTATATCCGCCAAAACTGGTACCGGTCAATGAGTTGAAGTGTATTAAGTAGTATTTTTCCATTAGTGTGTTGAGTTCGTGACCAATTTGGGATTAAACTTACCAAATATCAAATATCATAGAAACTAATGTCAGAGTGATTATGGGTCGTATAAATATCATTTGCGACCGAAATTCGGTCTTCTTATGTGTTTATTACAAGTGGTACTAGAGACAGGATATCTGGTACTATCATGCCATAAAGTGGTACTGCCTTACAATATAACTGGTACTACTTTTTGTAAATGTTGACCACAATTGAAATAATCAATTTTTCTTCACAAAAATTGGTACTAATCGATCAATAAAAGGTACTACGTAGAAGAAAAAGAGGTATTATTTCCGTCGAAATTGGTACCATTCAATGAGTTGAAGTGTATTAAGTAGTGTTTTTCCATTTGTGTGTTGAGTTCGTGACCAATTTTCGATTAAACTTAATTAACGAAATATCAAATATCATAGAAGCTAATGTCAGAGTGATTAGGGGTCGTATAAATATCATTTGCAACTGAAATTCGGTCTTCTTATGTGTTCGTTACAAGTGATACTAGAGACAAGATATCTGGTACTAACTCGCCACAAGGTGGTACTGACTTACACTATGACTGGTACTAGCTTTTGTAAATGTTGAGCAGAATTGAAATAATCAATTTTTCTTCAAAAAAGTAGGTACTAATAGATCAAAATCAGGTACCACGCAAAATAAGATGCGGTAGTATGTTGCCCAAAATCGGTACTATTATCAAAATCGCGATTTCTCTAATCCTTCACACAAACAGCATCCGGGCTTTGAGTAAAGTACCAGCTTCTTCGGCTGAGAGGAAGACGAGAAGGAGGCTAACGTCCCTAATAACGGGAACCCAGAATTCCGTCCGGTGGGTTTAACAGATGATCAAGCTGCAATAAATTTAAATAATTAAGCAAATAAATAATACATTAAAGCGGATAAACTGAAATTCATAACTCTCCAAAGTTTCTAGATCAGGATAATCAATGCCAATCTTCTTAAGAACCTGAGTATAGCAGTTCTATAAAATTAGGTTAGATGAAAATATAAGGAGTTGTATTGAGAAGAAAACATAAGGAGTTATATTGACATTAATGAAAATAAAGCATATCCAAGGTTAGATGCCAAAACCATAGTATAGCAGTTCTATAACATTAGGTTTCAAATTATCTTTAAAAACAATCTCATCACAGCTATATATAACATTTATATTAAATTCATCTCTTTGAGTATATAACCAAATAGAAAACCTTGAGGTCCATAAATCTTAAGTCACGGATGAACAAAATCATGCTAAACAATAATAACATACTAGATAATACAAAATAATGGTGTACATAGTTAAACTTTAGCTTCATGAATCAACTAGAAACTGCTAGCTCCTACTGAATTTCATTCAAAACACAATTGGCGGATAATGAATAAACAGTGAATAGTGGTAACACACCAAGTGAATGATGCCAATGTTCGATAGTGATTTCATTGTTTCAATATCGCGATCCAACTGTTGTTTTCAGTCCAAAGCCCTAAATTAAAAAAAGCCCCAAAATTGAAAAAAGCCCTAAAATTAGGAAAAAATCCCCAAAAATCAGAAATTACCTTTGTTAATGCATTGGTGGGTGTCGAGGAGGAGGACGGTTTGTGCGGAGATTTCTTTTTCGAGCCGGCCATTGCTTCCCGCCGGAGAGATACGAACGGCGATTGAGACAGAGGAGAGACGAAGGCAACGGGAAAAAAAGAGAGAGAGAGACGACGGCGACAAGAAAATTGGGGGAGAGGAATGAGACGGCGAACGACGAACGATTTTGAGGAAAGAGGAATGAGACGGCGAAGAGAGTAGATGCGAAGAAAGAGACGACGAAGAGCGAGAGTGGAGAGAGAGATTAATTTATTATCAGGTAAAATAAATCAATAATAATAGAAAAAGTATTTATATGGGGAGTTGAGAGGAAAGATAAATTTGTATTAGAGAGTTGAGAGGAAGTTTTAAAGTGGTGGGGACTGAGGAGGAATTTGAAATGTGCATTAGGGATTTTTGAGGAAATAACCGATAAATTATAGCACAAAGTTCATTTCATATCTACAATTCAAATAGAAAATAATTTATGATTAAAAATTCATTCATTAGAATGATAACATAAAAACAACAGCAATAGGAACCCGTTCTGCCCAAATTCACAGCAATGGCGGATTACCATTTCGTGTACAAGGATTTGGAAGGAGCTTCGACGCAGTGGGATGATATTCAGAGGAAACTCGGAAATCTGCCTCCGAAGCCGGCGCCGTTCAAGCCGGCCCCTTTCGCGCCCGCTGAAGATGAAGATTCGAAACCGAAAGGCAAGGATTGGCTCGACGAGAAGACCGAGGAAGAGCTGCAAGATCTCGAAGATGATCTCGACGACGATCGATTCCTTGAAGAATACAGGTACTTAATATTGATTCCAAATTCGATTGTTGAAGCATAGGAAATGACTAGGCTTGGATTTTTGCAAGATTGTTTTACAAAGAATTGATATGCATTTGTTGTTAGCCTGCTGATTGGATCAGCATCAGCAGGATCTTTGTTTTACTTGTTTTTGAGATATGGGCTCACCAATGGCAGCTAATTTAATTTGATATGGGTGAAATAAATGGTTTTTTATTTGAGACTGATCTTTCATTACTTCAGTAACAGTCTTAATGACCGATTTCTCAAACTAAAGAACCTGCCTTTTCTCAGTTTCATGACGATAAAGGATGGAAAATAGCTGTAGGTAGTGCCAACTTTTGAAATGAGATCATGATTNATATTCACAGTTACCCAGAGTGTAGGCTGCTATTGCAATGTTTAGAAGATTTGTCTAAAAGATACCACGCGACAAAGTTTGTCAAAATAATATCTACAGAATGTATTCCAAACTATCCCGATCGTAATCTTCCTACTATATTGGTGTATTACAATGGTGCTGTGAAGGCAACTCATGTGGGGATACAGAGTTTTGGTCGTAGGTGCACCCCCGAGAGTATGTCGTTTTTGTCTCTTCCTCTGTACGTGCTTTTGAGATTCTGAGTCATCTTTTCTTGCACAAGTAATTGTTATAAATTATAATAACCCGGGAAGTATGTCATTCATCACTCCTTCTTTATGTGCTCTTTAGATCTTGAGCTGTCTTGTCTTGAACAAATATAGTTTCTAGTGGCATGAGTTACTGAGTACTTCTCATGTATTCCCCTTGAGAAATTTGAGATATCTATTGAACAATCAATCTATCTTGGATGCTGGATTTTATACTGATGGTTCATGTGCCCATTTTTAGATTTCAGGGCAAAAATGGGGGAGGACAGGGCGGAAGTTTGAACAGGTTGATCCACATGAAATATATGCAAAATGCATGAAGAGGTCTATATGTATAGAACAACGTTAAATATATGTTTGAAGACCCAGGAAAAACTAGAGTTAGAAATAATTATGTAACAAAAAACCATTAATCAGTATATATGGCATCATTCACGACTTGGGAAGAACCACATAGGCCCTGGGTAAGTCTTCCTGAGGTTCTGAGCATCACATGGAAAATAGCATGGCGACACAGTCTTGTTCTCATAATTGAAAATGCCAATGTCATGGCCACCAGTTAGGCAATCATTATACTCCTCAATCGAGGCATCTAAATTTGCATCCGTGAAGTAAATGGAATTGGGTTTGAGCTCGGGGAAGTCAGCCGTGGGCAACGCAACTGCATGGCTGTGGAGGCCGACAAAAAGGGCCCAACCACCAAAAGACCCTTCCACATACTTAAGTTCCCCATCCTCAGGGTCATATTTATGAACATCAAAATCAACAGTCACACCCGGAAAGCCGCGTTTGTAGGTGAAGTCATACGGCGTATTACCATCAACATACAAACCATCAAAGTCAAATGCATCAACCACGTACTGAGTCACTACGAGGAGATCCTCCCCGGCCACTACCAGATTCTCCGCCTGCGTACTCGTCAACGTCAACTTCTTCGTACCTGTCCTCGGGTAGCCGAGCCGTCCAACCTTCCGACTATCCTCGGCTATCTTCACAGCCCTCGGTGACTGAGGGTCCCGAATATCCCAAGACTCCAACACGCCCAGTCTTGTGAGGCAAAACAATGCTTCATGTCTTGTGGAGTAGACACAATCTTCGTAGCCCCCAAAAAAATCCTGGCCCGAATCTTGATCAAACCAGTTGTGATCTCCGATGCGGGTCCATTCCTTGCTCAACCCAGGGCAGCAGAAAGCCAGCGCAGCTACGTTGTTGTATATCATGATAGCCCGACAATTTGGTCCATCATCGTCTGGGGAGCACGAGAGGATGACCTTCTTGTATAGTCCATTCGAGTTGGGAGGGTAATCAGGAAAGTGGCCAAAGGGAGGGAGGCTTATATGACCACCGGTTATTGGGTTATACAGAAACACGTCCAGGCTACTTTCGTCGTACAAAGCTAGCCAGCCATGTGAAGATCCCCTAAAGCACAGGAGAGGGTTCCTTAATTCTCTTTCTTTGCTGCTCTTTCCGGTACTTAGGGTTACGATTTTGTTGTCGGCGAGGCTGTAGAACTTGAAGCTCCTGCTTGCGCTACCGCTAACGTCGACGTCAAAGGCAGGCTGCAGCATAAGCCAAGGAGATGACGAGGGTGATGGCTTCGGCTTGGCCAACGTGCTCATGCCTTTCGGATAAAACGAGGACTTCAACCTATACCTACAACATTCGGCGGAAGAACAAGATCCAGACATCAATTTTCCGCCAATCGGACAATTAGAGATTCCGGCAAACCATTTCCGACAAATCGAACGGGTAAGTGAGAAGGAAGAAGCCATAGATAGATAAACTCGGTAAGTCGAAAGATGCACTATTTATCTTAAACCCTTATTTTCCTTTAACAAAAATCACCCTCAGCCCTTATCTCCATTATCTCTATTCTAGAATAAAAGCAAGACAAAAATCAAATTTCGTCCTCAATCATTTGCTTTTACATTTTACTTCGAACATATTATTTTATTTATTTAACATATCAAAATATAATTAATTTTAATATTATTTCATGCAATAAATATTTTCACAATGTTAGGGGGTCTGCTATTGGTTTGAAATATTATTAGACAAATAATTATTTTTTCACATCATTTGGATTCATTTTTAGTAATTCAATACAATATATTTTTTTCAAAATAATATTGTCATATAATTGTAAAATCATTATATAAATTTATTGTAAATTTATTGGTAACAACTTTATCAAAATAATTAAATTTAAAATTAAATAATACAAACAATATAAAAATAATTTAAAAAATATAGAGTTATGAATAGTATCACGCCAAATGTGGTGCAATAATGTTCATAATTCTAGACTAGTGCAAGAATGTAGCGCATCACTGGACTTAACTTTTAACGAAATTCTAGTGTTTTACGCCAAAATAGCTAATTCTAAAGTAGCGCGAGAATGTAGCACACCACTTGTCTTTACTTTTAGTAAAATTCTAACGTTTTACGGTAGAGTAGCACAATTAATCTGCTCGTATTTGTATCTTATATGTGCTTTTAATGAAGCATTTGAAATGACCTAATTCATGAATGGGCTTTAAGCCCTATTTGTGGACATTCCAGGCCCTCAAATGAAATTCATATTTTGTTTTAAAAGGCTACTAGTACGTGAATTCTAGAAAAAAAAATAATTGCATCTTTGGTATTTGAAAAAAAAAAATTGTACGATAAAAATTGAAGAAATAAAATTTATATTCTTATTGTGAAGTAAAAAATAATTAATAAGGAATTAAAATTTTGTGGTATTATTTTGAATTTTAAAAAATATTTTTGTATAAAATATTATATGTTTTAATTAAGATATATTTTTTTAAATAAAATAATATATGAATTCCAATATGGATGATGGAAACAAAAATTAGATTTAGTTTGCATTTGCGTATGTATTTTGTTTTAGGAATCTTGCAAGTCTTAAAAATTTCAGACACATCAGACAATAATTATATTGAAACTTCTAAATTTTTCAAAATCTCAAATGATGAATTTTAGAAATTTTAAAAGTTCCAAATAAAATATATATATATATATATATATATATATATATATATGTATACACATATATATAGGGATTAGTTCAAATGCGGCCGCTTTTTTAAAGTGAGGACGTGAGACTCATTTTTAGCCACATATTTGGTTCATCATGTGAGGCCAAGATTTACTCTTTTTTTTATTATTTTAATTATTTAAATATTATTTTGATCCATTGATTCCGGCGTTGACCGTTGACTTTCGGCGAAATCCGTTGACTTCCGGTGTTGACCGTTGACTTACGACGTTGACTCCGACGTTGACCGTTGACAACTAGCCTTCCAACTAGGTTAGTTCTCTGTAGTTGCTAGGTTAGTTCTATGTAGTTGTTAGGCTAGTTCTCCGTAGTTGCTAGGTTAGTTGTCTGTAGTTGCTAGGTTAGTTCTCTGTAGTTGCTAGGTTAGTTTTCTCTAGTTGCTAGATTAGTTCTTTGTAGTTGCTAGGTTAGTTGTTTGTAGTTGCTAAGTTAGTTCTCTGTAATTGCTAGGTTAGTTCTCTGTTATTGTTAGGTTAGTAATAGCTAGGTTAGTTCTCTGTAGTTGCTAGGTATGTTCTCTATAGTTGCTAAGTTAGTTCTCTGTAGTTGCTAAGAGCTGTTCGCATTTGATCCGCCCCCTATATATATATAATAAGAATAACCATTTACCAAAACTAGTAGTAAAAAAATTTGGGAAATTTAATGCATACCATTTTTTAGAAATTTTTTAAATATATGCATTAATTGCTTTTATATACACTTTTCAAATAAGATCAAATAAGATATGATCAAAAATATTATTTTCTTAAATAATTTTATTAATATCTGCAATAATTTCATTGATATTCATTATAATAAATTACAAGATTGATTTTTCGTGATTCGTGTTGATAATATTTTGATCAAGATAAATATTACCACATATTTTAAGTTTTAACCATACTATTATGGTTTTTTTTCCACAAATATTCACTTTTTATCCAAAAAATATTTTAAAAAAAATCGTAACAGGTTAGGAAAATGTTTTATTCCAATGAATAGGCGAAATCAAGTTGGTGAATTAATCATTGTCAATATATTTTTTTATTAAGCTTTATTTCATTATAAATAAAAAATAAATTATGCTTTAAATTAACATAATTTACCATTTAAGAGATAATGACCAGATACATTAAATAGTTTTACTAATGGTCAAAAAATTAAAATTGAAATATATGAACTGTTCTTTAGATTTATTTGTATATTATTTACAACCATGATTTTTTTTTATCATTTTTTTTATTTTGATTTGTTTCTATAATTATATTATTGCAAAATATATTTTCATTGCAGGGAATACTAAATAAATTATAAATCCTTATAATGCAAATTAGAAAAATTTTGATTATAGAAGGAATTGAGTTTTTGGCATTTCCTAAATCAAAGTTGTTTAATTAGTTTACAAAATCAAATTCGAAAAAAACATGTGTGTATATTTTGTAAAATATTTATTCATTATTTAATTTTAAATTTACATACATATTTTAAATTGATTACATAAATAAATAATACTAACGTGCATTAAATATTTTTCATTACATAAAATAAAAAGAAAAAGAAGACGTACAACTTCTATAACTTTTATGAATAAAAATGACATTATATGACAACAAAGTTTATAGTAAAATAATAATGAAGTATTATATGATGAACAAGAATAAGTAAAACTGTTGTATTTTCTTATGTCAACGAATAAATATATATATATATATACTAAAATCAAACTTATATTAGTATAAATGTGTTAGTGAGATAATATATTAATTATTTACAAGTTAGCCTAACATTCTCATATTTAATGTTCTTGCTAAAAAAACAATACTTATTAAAAGAAATGGAAAATAGATGATGACCTATAACTTTTTAAATTTAAACGGACATAGCCTGTTTGTCTAGTGAATCGCAGAAGATACGTACTAGTATTTTTTAAAAATCTAAAAAAAAATTAAAAAATAAGAATTCGAACAATTTACCCGGTGTATTTAGCCCTGCTCATTTTACCTAAATTTAAATTAGCGTAAGAAGTTTATATAATTTTTAAAGTTATAGAGGAATAAATTACAGTATATGTTACATTATTTCCGGCCCGCAAATTAATTCGCACCTGTCAATATAAAAAATGTTGTTCACCAGCAAATTACAACAACTATTACATTGTTTAATTTCCCAGAAAATAATCAATTTTAAAAACTAAAAGAAAGGGGAAGAAAAATGAGACTGCAAAACTCATATCACCAGGGTTAATGATGCTGCCTAGTGTACACTTTATTTTCCGTCTTTTACAACCAATTTCTAACAAAAAAAAAAGAAAAAAAAAATAGCTACAAGATTTACACAAACTTGAGACTCTTGGCTGCGCCTTTTGGTAGTTGAAAGTGTCGCACAAAAGTTCATTTTCGGAATGTACCTCGAAACTCTGTGTACTAGAGAACTCGATGGATCTACATAATCCTTCATAGTTTTCATAATTTTCGAATTTTAACTGTTTATGTTGTATGATGACTATAGGGTGTAAGCGAGTCGAGCAGTGTTGTTTATAACAACAAGCCAGACTGGAGCCTTAACGAGCCGAGTTGTAGAAAATTCAAACAAAATTCATATTTCGAGACCTTAACGAGTCGAGCCATTGACTAAATGAGTTTTGAACGAGCCCAGCTGAGCTAAATCTAGCTTACGAGCGGCTATTTTCGTTTAACAGCTCTAATGATGAGCTGGTTGAGCTTGTTGTCTCGGCACTCGCGTGCAAAAATGGCGGTTGTTTCGGTTCCGGGATTTCACAATTTTCATCCGTGAGCATTCGAACAACTTCCAGCATTGATGGCCTCTCGGTTACAGATGCCTGCGCACACAAAAGCCCGACTCGCAAAGCTTTTGATGCCTCCATTGCTAGAAAATTGCCTTGTAAGCAAGGATCAACTGCTTCTAATAATCTATCTGTCTAAAAAGTTCCCAAACCTGAAATCATAAACACAATATCAACCATTAGACATGCAGCAACACAAATATCAGAAGCTCCTGTACATTTTTGCTTCCATTCTGTTTTTTTCTTTTTTCCCTTTCTGAATAATACGATAGAAATATCGAGTAAAACATGAAAAAGGATTTGGAAAATTACTGTTTGCAGAAGGGATCCGAATCCCTCCATAAAAGCATTGTTTTTCCTACTGCACACGATTTCAATAACCAGCACGCCATAACTATAAACATCGGCCTTCTCGGTAAGCTGTCCTTTTACTAGGTACTCTGGGGCCATGTATCCTCTGCACAAAAAAAGTCATGCATATCACTATATGAGAATAAATTTACGAAATCACTCTTGAGGTTTAGCTCGATAATAAAATCATGAAGTCATTTTTCTAAAATTACTAAAGCTGCAGCGGAGAAGTTACAATTGACAAAAACCCCCTCTCGGAGGAGAATTCATAATTGTGAAAGATAACTGAGGTTGTTTCTTCCTTTTTCTCCCCACTTTGCTTAAGGCAGTGTTTTGTAACCATATATGCTAGCTTATAGCTTATTTGATTAGTTTATAAGCTTCCTGTATCAAAATAAATTTGGTTTGGTAGGAAAAAAGCTCGAGCTTATCTCATAAGCTTCCTTGGGTAGCTTCTCAAATAAGCCGATTGAAAATTTTATTTCAGTTACCTTATCAGCTAATTTTACCAAATAATTTTATCATATAAGCTAGCTTTTCAACTATAAGTCATAAGATAAACTCGAAATTCACTTAAAAGTTATAAGTTTATAAGCTAGGTTTACCAAACATAGCCTAAATGGTTGTATGTGATGCGAACAATGAGAGTTCTTACAATGTGCCTGCAATCCCCGTGCTGAGATGAGTTTTATCAGCTGCAAAACACCGCGCAAGACCAAAATCAGCAATCTTTGGTTCGAAATTCTCATCAAGAAGAATGTTGCTGCTCTTGATATCCCTATGGATTATTCTGTGCTCACAACCTCCATGAAGAAAACCAATCCCCTCGGCTGTCCCAACAATTATTCTGAATCTTTCCTTCCAACTCAAGATTCGATTATAATTCGTATCTGAAATTGCAAATCATTAGAATATATATATATTTGTATTGAAGGTACTAACAATAGTCATCCTCCCAATTAAAGACTCACGAAAAATGTGCTCTTCTAGGCTTCTGTTAGGCACAAACTCATAAACCAGAAGGCTTTCAGGGCCTTCGATACTGCAGCCCAGAAGCTTCGCGAGGTTCTTGTGTTCGATCCCACTTATAAGATTTACTTCATTGAAGAATTCATCTACCCACTGTCTTGTGCTAAAGAATAATCTTTTTACAGCCACTGTTTTACCATTTGACAGTATTCCTTTATATACAGAGCCTCCTCCTCCTTGGCCTAACTTTCGCGAATCATCGAAATAATTGGTTGCCTTCTCCAGGGTTTCATATTTGAAATTCAGGTTCGATTTGTTGTATGAATATGAAATCTTGCCAAGATTTTCACGTTCTGCATGGTTCGATAAAAACGTTATGAGAAACGAAAGAAAAGAAGAAAGGAAAAATAGAGTGCTTTTTTGGTGAACATAATATAATACATTGTCATGGTTTGAGGTAAGAATTAAGATACCTTGTTTCCGTTTTTTCCATCTTACATAGACTGCATAAGTACCGAAAATACAAAGCATACAAAAAGCCATCACAGGCAAAGTAATGGCCAAAATCAACCCTGCTCCAGAGGCCCCTGCAAAAGAATATCAAAACAATAAGCAATTGTGTGATGGCTAGTGATGTTAAATTAAATGAGCCTGAGCTCGGCTCATTTAAAGCTCGGCTCGATAAGGCTTGTTAAGGCTCGAAAAGAGAATTTTTATATAATTCTCTATAGTTCGGCTCGTTAAAGCTCGACATCAGCTCGAACTCGACTCATCAATAGTGATAAACGAGTCGAGCTTGAGCTCGGCTCGACTCGTCTCGTTTATAGAGTGAATCAACAAATGTGTATCAAATAGTCAATAATCACACAACACGAAAAGTCAGACCTTCATACGCCAAGAAAATATTAATAGTAAAATAAGAAACTCAAATAATATAGATGACATAAAAAGAAGTAAAGACAATCAAAGGCTCAAAGCTGACAATTTCAAATCAGCTGAACAAAGAATGAATTAAAGCAAACTTATAATCAATCGTCTGCAAATCAGCTTCATCAACACGAAAATGGTGGGAAACAGTAACGAAAACCACATATAATCAATCATCTGCAACTCAGCTTCATCAACATAAAAAGGGTAAAAACAATAGAAAAAAAATCAGACCATAACAGAATAAACAAATTCCAAAACAGTACTCAGCACGGATCATATAATTCTAAAGCCGCGTTTGGCTCAAACTCACCTGTATCATCGTCCTTGCCGGACGAATTAGAGAAGAACCTCACGGTAGAATATCTCAAGTAGCAGCCGGCGTTCATAGCTCGACCTTCCCTGCTCGGCAAACACCCTCTGACCTCTCTATTCGCCTTTGCCAAACACGCCCTACACCCTTCCCTGCTAACATTATTCCAACACTCGGCCAATCCAAACACTCCCCGGCTCCCCATCACCGCATAACCCCCGTTCGCCACCGCCCTTGCCGTCAGATTATCAACCAACGCCCCAACATTTTCCCCAAATTCCAAATCGACCCCACCCGCCGCCACCCCCAGCGAGGTATTGCAGTTAACGCCGTCAAGGACGGCGTCCACGCTCTCGCTGTAAAATTCGTACCTATCGTAGCGGAGGAAACACCCGTCCAGGAAGATCCGGCCGGAGGCGGCGGGGACGCAGCGGGGGATGCTCGTGCGAGTGGCGGCGAAGCACTGGAGGCAGTCGTCGCGGGACAGGTCGCGGTGGCACTGGAAGTAGGTGTAGATGGAGATGCTGGTGGAGTTGACGGCGTATTGGCCCCACTCGTCGGCCGTCACCCGCAGCCCGAGGCCCTCCATGGCGCTCGTGAACAGTGGGACGTAGCTGGCGTTCGGCGGCACCTGGGTCTGGCCGCAGATGAAAACCGCTTCGGAGATTCTCGGGTCGGGCAGCCCGAAGGGCATAAATCGGGCCGCGAGGAGGATGAAGAAGGGGATCCATGCTGGGTTTGGGGGGTTTATTGAGGCTGATAGATACATTAACAGTTAACAAATTCCTTGGTGTTGATTTGAATTTCTGAAAATGGAGAAAAAAAAACAGCAGTTGTTCCTTTGTTGCTGCTGTTGTTCATCAATGGAGAATTTGGAATTTTGTAGGGACGAATCAGACTGTTGAGTTAACGAGAGACGAAGTCACGGAGCTAACATATAATTTTATAATCAAGTCAATTCTCGTGTTGGGTAATGTCATGCTGTTCTTTTAACAAAATAAAAATAAATATTTATAGTATAAACTATTTTTAAAAATAAAAGGTATAACTGCAACAACGTTACTAACAAGTTACAAATTATATTTTAAAATATATGTACGTATTTACAAAAATATACTCTGCTAAAAATTAATGGTAGGAAAAGTCCAGAATGCACGGAGTACTTAAACTAGTTACCTTGGATAATATAATTTATTTATGAAGATGGATTGGCTCCTATTTCTTGATTCAACTTATATTTCGTGTTGAACGAGAGCACCTAGAGCTTTTTCTTCAGGGGAAATCGGTATGTCCAAGTCCAAAATAAAATTCAGCAATTATTGCAAGTATTCAGTTATTTTTATTTTTTCGTTATTAAAGTCAAAACTGACTTGACTAAGGTAACCAAAAGCTTTTGCACTATTTATTTAGTCGACTCATCCAAAGGTCTAACTATTTTTTATGTATGTGAAACAATTACTCATACTCATTCCTTTTGCACGTGGACTGATATATTTTTATTTTTTTATATTTAGTTACTGATTCAAGTGTCAATTAAAAAAAATATATTACATCTCTACTATGCTCTTAATTACAAAATCCTTCATCATTTTTTTTTGTTATTTAATTTTTTGTTTGTCTGTTTTTCTCCCATATTAAAGGTCTACTCAGTCAAGAACACAATACTACAATAGGAACTTTTCAACAAACATTATCACTTTATAACCGAATTTAGTTAGTATCATATTTAAGTAAATATAAATACCTTCACAAGTCCACTTGAAATTTGATGACTCATTAGACTAGAAATAGAAACAATTTTCTAAAATATAAAAACGAATATTAGACTCCTAATAATGATTATGATGCTAATTACACTTATTCATCGTTTAGCTCATCTTAATGTGCTCACGGTAAGTAAACGAGCATATTCCGTAATTTTCGTTCAATACCTCTAATTTATTCTATTCATTTTGCCAAGAGTTTGTGCTTAAAGGCAAACTTGACGGGACTTCTTTGTGAAGTAATTAAAATTTTTGTTTGGTGGCTTTCCAAGCTCAAATCATCATCAAAATGCTCTTTGCTACACTAGATTTATCAAATAAATATATTATAAATTTACTGCCAACCATTTTCTTGTGATACTTTACTCATTTTAACTCTCAAAACAATATGCTAAAAAAGCTAAAAGTAACTAAAACGATTTAAGTCTGTATTTATTAGCATCTAATCTTGATTGTACATAACCTCGTATACATACATTCCCTTTTCATAATTTTAAGGCTGATCAATATTTTCTTAAATGGAATATTCCTCATTTCTTTGTGTTTTATGTGAACTGTTATTTTAAAAAAAAAAATGTAAACATGAACCATGTTTCATTTCTTGGGTGAAGCAAGTAATTTATGGATGAATTTATTCCCATCCATTAATTAAATAAGAATACAAATAAAACTTTATTACATTATATATATAAATAGTTGAAACTCGAAATTATTGATGTGCAGCACATGAATACCATGTCCATGACTTGCGCTGATTTGTGTCTTAACCTCCAGATGCTACAATCCACAAGGGTTGACTTATTGTAATAACTTCAAAAAATAGGAACAATTTGGTTTTTTGGTGGGTTGGTCGTGATAATTAATAGGTGTGGGTTAGAGAAATATAATTCAAAAATAAACGGATTTCTTTTCCCACATGGAGCAACAATAAGAACGGCAAATCAAAAGGATATAAAAGGCTAAAATAAATCCAATTCCAATCTACAGATCGCCAAACTACGGTTTCGAGTCGGAATTGTTGGTATTGGGCCGCGGTTTTGAAGGCTGTTGTTGTTATGCGATATATGTAACGACGGGTTTATGAAAATTTCATAAGTAAAAATATGTTTGATTGTAAATGAGATCGGATGACCTAGAATTTCATACAGTGAACAACTCGGTTGTTTAGTACAGAGTTATTCTTCCAAAAAGAGTTGATCTGAGTATTTTGTTCTTACAATAAATAATAGGTATTTTATACTATGCGATCCACAAGTGTGATTCTCGATACTCGCACGTTGTCATTTAATGTGTTTTGTTGGTGGCGTGCGACTCATAAGGGTAGGTCCCACACTCGTCTGTACGATTGACATGTGTCACGTCCGCATTAAATATGATGTCAGAAGCTGACCTTCAAGACATTGTGGTTGGATCCTCTGAGGTAGGATAACCGAGCTCTTCATTGCGTCATTGGAAAGTCAACACCTTTTTTTTTTATGGTCGTAGGTCGACTGTAAGATGAAGAGGTCGGGTCTTCTCTATGATCCTTGGTTTATTCCGAGTTGTTGTCTGCAGTAACATTTTTCCCTCTTGGTCACGGGCTGATCTCTAGGGCGAGGAGGTCGAGTCCCTTGCTTGTCCCCAAGTTTCCCACCGAGCCGATCTTTATCTATTGCTGGGCTGGATTAATTTATTCGGCTCATCTTCAGGCTGGGTACGTGACTGTCTAATTTGCCACGTGTTGTGATTAACAGGCTGTTAGTTTGGAAGTCAACAGCTTTGAAGCAGCTCAAAAATATATACGGACCGGTTCGAGGAATCAGCGGTTCTGGACCGACTTTGTTCACTAAAAAAATAAAAAATTAATAAAATTAAAAAAAAAGTCGAATCACCGATTTCAGTTTCAGTTCGAACCCAATAATTCAATAATTAAAAATATGTGGCTCAAAATTGGTCCGATTAAACCACGACCACGAACCAGTTCCAGCCGATTTTGACCCGTGATCATGTCTTGGAGCTCTGAATTTAATGAAATTTGCACCAGTTTTCTTTATGATACAAATTTTTTTTACACATTTTTCTATTATATTTTCAAAATTGCATCACATTATTTCATGTTTTAACACAGTTCACACCAACGTTGACATGTCCACTTATTTTAATTTTAATCCTGCTAGTGGAATTATTATTATATTTTTAATAAGGGATATAAATCAAATTTACAGTTTCTTCAATATAAAAAATCATAAAAAATAATATTTACGTTAAGAGCGCATGTATTTTTATAATGAAAGAGAAATCACACACCTTATTCGTGCATTTTTAATATAATGAAAATACAAATGGTTTCAACCATTAAACACTCATATTTTGTTGCGAAAAATATGTGTTTACATTATGAAATATCATACTTTAATTTATATCTTAAAATATAACATTAAATATATATACAAGTATTTAAATTTGTTGGAAAAAAACACAAAACCAACAAAATGAAGAAAAAAAAAAAACACATAAATTTCGATAAACAGAGGGATTTGATGCAATTAATTCTAATATGAAATCTAGTGTTATCTTAATATTCAAGAGACAGGAAAAAAGGAAGTTTCGTCCTCTGGAGTCTGGAGATCATCTAGGATAAAAAAGCTTCAATATTCAAGAAAGATCAAAAGCAAACCCTCATTGACTATGTGGAACAGTAAAAATCATATGTACCTAATGTTTGTTCACAAGATGAATATATCACGTGTGAAAATGAACACACACACGTGTGATGCTGTGGCAAAAAAGTCTCTGTTGGCCCAGCTACAATTATGGCTGCTGCTATTTACAAGTCTGCTTTTTATAATATACTACACATACAACAAAAATTGCAATTCTACCATCCCATTAAAATTAATTGCATACTTACTACTTACTTAACACATTAAATTTAATTAAATTAATTTCTATTGTTAGTTACCATAATATCCAACGTTCCCCTTAATTTGTTTGATTAATATTTCAATGTCCCCTTAATTTGTGCTTGATTACTGTTTCACCTTATTAAAAAAAAAAAAAATTCAAAATTAACGTCCAAAAACCTGAAAAATATACACTCAGAAAGTTTATTGTAAATTGAATCCAAAAACAGGTTGATCGAAAATCAGAAAAAATGTATATGTTTAGTTTATATAACGTATATATTACACATATGAACTGTATATGTTTAGTTTATTTAACGTATATATTATTATACATAATATTTACACATACGAAACTGTATATGTTTAGTTTATATAAGGTATATATTATCATTCACTGAAATTAGTTGCATGCTTTTAAGGATGAGGACGGAGAAATCTTCAGAGAAATCTGCAGAGGAGGATAAGGATGAGGATGGAGCTTCTAAAGAGGCTAAAAGAAAGAAGAGAGAGAAGGGAAAGAAGAGAGAAGCGAAGAGAGAGAAGAAGGAGAAAAGAAGAAGGAGAGAGAAAATGAAGAAGTCGTGGTGCGACCGATCATGAAAAAAAAAATACAGACAGATGGAGAGAGAAGAAGGAGAAAAAGAGAGGGGGAAGAGAGAGAAATATTGTGATAAAGACGAATCGTTATTTGACTTCTGATAAAAGGATTAAATCCCAAAACATCTTCCCACTATCCATGAAAAAATCAACTTACTTGTATTAAAATTTAATCAATTTTCGTAAGTTTGCAATTAAAAATTTTGTCTTGTAACTATACAATTGAAAGAAGATTATGTCGTGCCTTAGGTAATTATCTCTTTTATAATAGATAGTGTGGGCTCAGCTTAATTGGCAGCCCAAATGACTTGACTTTGGTCATATGGGCCGTCTAAATTCAAAAAATATGGACCAGGTTGTAATTCCATATTAGTCCATACACTTTCTCTATATACATTTCACACCTACTTTCCTTCTATACATATATACTCGGTGGCTTGTTTGTTCTTCACATCTCAATTAACGGATAAACAGTAAAATCAAAATCAATTTTACAAAAGAGAAAAAAATGGCACTCGCCAAAGCCAAGGAGATCGTCTCGACGAACCCAGTCGTCGTCTTCAGGTATTATCCATCTCTCTTCACGCGCACGTACACATACAAACACGCAAACAGTGCGTGAGGTGAAAAATTCCAAAAAGCATCTGATTCTGTTTTTGTTCGCGTGGAATTTTATGAAGCTGCTGTGATTTCATATGGATCTGTTGATTATTTTGTTTTTTCCTTTTCTATGGTGGCAGCAAGACTTACTGTCCGTTTTGCACGTCGGTGAAAGATTTGTTGACGAAGCTTGGTGCCACTTTTAAGGCCATTGAATTGAACACAGAGAGTGAGTTTATTTTTTTTTTCTTAAAATTTTTTGCTCTATTTTATCTGCGTTGTTGACTTNTTTTTTTTTTTGTTCTTTTGAGTTTGGATCGTTTGTGGCTTGAGAGTTCTCCAGATCCGCTAGTTGCTCATCGTTTTGGGAATAATCTGCTCAATTTTGAATATGATGGATTGGCAAGTGAAAATAGATCTTAGGATCATTACTGTATGTAAATCTTCTTAATATTATCATTGTTATGTTGATGTCGGCGACGATGGAATCTCGTTAAGACTCGAGCTCAGCAAATGAGTAGAGCTCGTGTAAAGCTCGTTTAGCTAACGAGCCAAGCTGGATTGCTAAAGGCTCGAGTTTGGCTCGTTAATATTGATACACGAGCTGAGCTCTAATTCATTTATTGGCTTCTTTAGTTAATGAGCCAAGCTCGGCTGGTTTACACCCCTATGGATGTGAGAATAAAGTAAATTTTAGAAATAGGAGTGACCATAGGTCCATAAGGTGTAATTTTGGTGATGAATTGTTGATGGATTAACTTTTTGTACAGTTGTAGTTGGATATATGGGTTGTGATTGGAAATATAAGAGTGGAAAAATTATTTTTTGTTGATAGCCTTTTCAATTAAAGTAGCCCTAAAAATTATTTCTATGGTTGAAATTTGGAAAGGACCTAAAGGCTAAAGGTAATAACAATTTGAGTTGCATCTTATTCGTTTTCACGGAAAAAAGAAAAATAACATTTTCAAGAAAATTTTACACCATAACTTGCAAAATTTCCTTTTTACCTCGAAAAAAGATGTTTCGAAACTAACTCCTTAGTTGCTACCTTTTGGAATGAAGGTGATGGAAGTGAGCTTCAAGCTGCATTGTTCGAGTGGACCGGGCAGCGAACTGTGCCCAATGTGTTCATAGGCGGGAAGCACATTGGTGGCTGTGACGGTAAATACCAGTTTAACTTTTCATGATTAGTAAAACGTGATTTTTTACCGTTCGCCTGTTTGAATAATATGTATTGATTTGTCTTTTGCAGCAACAACTAATTTGCACAACCAAGGAAAGCTTGTTCCTATGCTTACTGAAGCTAAAGCACTTACCGCGGAAGCTTCTGCTTAGAGTGAGTGTGTAATAAAGTTATGGTTTTAATGTAAGACTGTGTGAAGTGTGATGATGATAATGCTAATAAAGGTAAAGACTCGTGTTGATTGTATCGGTCGGTTGAAATATATAAAATGTTGGTGTATGTGTTTGTGCATTGATGACTTTGGCCTAAATAATTGTTTGTAGTGTTGGTGAAATGTTAAAGCTTTTGGTGGTATAATGTTTAGTGGCGTCTGAAAGTAATTACCTTTTGATAAACGTGGTACTTGGTATTGGTATTGACTATGTTTGGTAAAACTAGCTATCAACTAATAACTTAGCTGATAGCTTATATATGAATATCGAGCTTATAGTTGATACCTTATAGCTGAAAAGTATCCTGATATGAGTTTGAAAAGTTATCTAAAGAAGCTTATTAGGTAAGTTTGAGCTTTATAGTAAGTTTATAAACTAATCAAATAAGTTATAAGCTAGTTTAAGGTGCTTACTAAACACACTCTTATAGATTAGTAGAGAGTAAACTTTTTATTACCGTGGTGCATGGATCGAAAAATAGATTAATGTTGCTACTAGATTTTGTGAGAATCTTGATCTCAATCTTAGTTGTAGAACTTTTTTGACTTTGTGTTGCACCTTTTTAAAGTTGTGATAAGGCTGAGAGTCTTTTCTGGAAGGTGTAATAGTATCAGTCCTGTTTTCAAACGATTGCCTTTTGATTTTTATTTTTATTTTTTACTATCATTTTTATGAATCTTAACTTTTGCCACAGATTTCACCTTACTAGTTGCAGTTGGATGTTTTCNTCATTAAACGGAAATAAGTCAGTATAGATAATTTTCACTTTCCACTGTTGAATTAACATAACCGTGCGGATGTGATTGCTAAAAATTCAGAAAACGAAAGTGTCAATAGTCTAAGCAACATTGCCATTAGCCATCAAGTCCTAAATTTAGAGGACCGAAAAAATAAAATTGCATTGCCTTCTCTTCATTTCCCCATTATGCCATGCCCAAGAAGATTTGCTGCTCGTCCCGCCTTGCCACCTTCTACACCGGTCAGAGGAAATATGGGAGATTAAAAGAACTATTTGACGAACAACAAAACCGAACAAATGAATTTCATGCAGAATATAGGACTACAAATCTACAATTATCAAGTGATAAGAACCAAACTTACATTCGAAAGGCTAATCCATCGATTAAGAGTATCTAAAGCTTTTCCCGACAAATGTATTTCACGTGCCAAAGCTATCCCTTCTCCCAAGCTGTGGACTCTCCCACACACAAACAATGCTGCAGCTGCATTTAACACCTGAAAGAAAAATCGTTTCGTATTTCTCTTACTTCTTACACATTCCCGTGTGTGTGATGTTAAATAAACGACTTACAAATGAATCTGCAATGGCTCCTTTCTCTCCAGATAACACAAACCTCATCAACTCCGCATTGTATTTTGGATCTCCCCCTCGTAAATCTGCTAATGTGCACCGAGAAATACCAAAATCCACTGCAAATACAGAAAACGGGAGACTTACAAATTATTATTAATTCACAGCACAGAGATTTCATATTTTCGCTCTTAGCATAATCGAGCATTCATTTTTTGGACCAAGATTTGATGTTCTTACATGGGTCGAAAGAAAACTTCTCAATCTTTTCGGGTGTAATATCAAGCACCACTCCAGGCCCTGATAACACGCCAAAATCTAGACTTACACGAGACTGAAAGACTCGACCATCATATAAAGCTATAAACACTTAAACAGTGAAAATCTCACCGAGTGGACTCATTTCATCTAACCCCTCAGAATTTACGACTAATGCTCTTTTCATTCCGTATCTTTGTAATGCTTTAGCCATCTTACCAACCTGTTGGGATCACATAACACACACAAAAAAAAAGATTTAATAACACATTTATTTGAACGATTCGAACACATTATTTGAAACAAACAAACAACTGACCAATGCTTCATTATAAACCCCAACAACCGAAAAAGATACACAAGCAGGATTTAACATGGGACCAAGAATGTTAAAAACGGTCTTCACTCCGAGCTTTTTCCTCACGGGAGCAAAAGTCTTCATGGCCGGATGATAGTTAGGTGACATCATAAATCCGATTCCCGCTTGTTCCACACAAGTTCTAACTCCCTATTTTAAAAGTACCAGAGTAAAATTATAACTTCAATATCCTTAAATGCACAAATTACACATTACAAAACCAAACATAAATCCGTGATCGATGAAAAATTCAAAGACACGTTAGCTAACCTCAGGCTCGACACTAATGGCCACTCCTAAAGCTTCCAAAACATCCGCACTACCACACGCAGAAGAACTAGACCTATTACCTTGCTGTTACAAACACAAAAAATATGAAAAATACACGTTTAACAAACCGGTTATCATATATAAATGTGGAAATGACTACAATCCCGTCACATAATGATTCCATCAGTGTGTTTTAACCATGGATTATCTACCCTACACTAATCTACATGTGTATCTAATAAAGGCTAATAATAACCACGAAATCATTCCTTGACGGGACTCTAGTGATTCCCTATAAATGTATAACAACATTTTTCAAATATTCTTGAAAATGAAAAATCAAAACTTAAACCTTAGCTACTTTAGCACCACAGGCAGCCGCAAGAATTGCGGCCCCGGTAGAGATATTCACCGTGTTTGAACAATCGCCACCTGTGCCTACTATATCCACCGCGTTTTCTAAACCATCCACTTTTTTGCAGCATTTTATCATAGCCCTTGCCATTGCCACAATCTAAATTTGGAAAAAAAAATAATAAATTATAATACGGTCAATGAAAATTAACTAAAAAAGTTCTTCAAATGTAAAGATACATTATTTATTACCTCTTCATATGTTTCACCTTTGGCTCTGAGGAGAACGAGAAAGGCGCTGATTGAAGCTTCAGAGCCATTGGTTAGCAAGAAATCGAGCGATCCCTCTGCTTCCTCTTCGCTCAAGTCTTCTTTAATCAGTAGGCGCTCGAATAACTGAATTGTTTTTTATTTTTTTAATGAAAATACTAAATTATAACAATTTAGAAAACACACACATACACAGACAGAAAGAGAGTGCATGGGAGAGCCCTTTCAAAGTGCATTCATAAAGTAATCATTTTTTACCATTTTTTTTTCAGGGGAAACAAAATATTTGGTGTACATCTGCTCTGAAAACGAAATCCTTAAACCTTTTTCAAGAATTACATTAAAAAACGCCTACCAAACACACGATTTTCCTACAAAATAGACTTGTAAGTGGAAAAATCTGTCTATGATAAGAAGTTGAGCAGAGTAAAGAAGGCGAAAACAGAAAAATCTGTTACATTGTATGGGTCAGTACTAACAGGAAAAGCTAAATATTTTCAGTCTAAAAATTGAAAAATTACAATTGCGGGAAGAGAAATGACCATATAATCTCTGAAGAAGAGATAATCTAAACCCCAATTAAATTTTTAGCCATTAAATAAATCAGTCAAAACCGGTCAATGTTTATTAACTGATTTTCTAACAAAATCATACACACATGATACAACTCACACACACACAGAAAAAAAATAATAATAATAATAAAAAGCTATAAAAACTACCTCTTTGGGGCAAGAAATGGGTAGCTCAAGCGAACGGCGGCGAAACTCAGTCCGAACGAGTGATCTACTCAAGAACGAACGCCGGTCAACTCGGCTGGCTACTGAAAAATTTTGAACCTCAGAGTAGTAGCTGAAGTTCTTGAATGGGAGATGGTAAAGAGAAGAAACATTTGCATTTTTGCAGGCAACAGCCATTACTTCAATTTCCCTTTTTTTTTTTTTTTTTTTTTTTTTTTTTTTTTNCTCTATTGTTCTCTGTTGTCTTCTCTCTTTTATGATTTATCACCTCTTTTCTGATAAAATGAGTGGCTTAAAAGTTGAAACCATGCTTTTTGTGTACTTTAATGCTGATTAAACTAATGAGGTTTTAGCTTGTCGAGTGCATTTATTTTGTTTGGTGAGGGATGGGACGGGAGTCCCATGTTGTAGTAATAATGATTATTACCCTGGTGATGAGATGGAAATTAAATTAGGGCAACTATCCACTCAATTACAAAAATAAGTTATTCAAAACACTTCTTTTACAGTGAGACTAGTTAGGATGGCTCGTCTTACGGTCTCTCTTAGATTTGGGTTCGAGTTTCGTCTTCTCATCAGATTTGACTAGCCAACCAAGCTTTGGATTGGAGTTTTTAGATATGCGAGATTTAGACATATAAGCTTCCATTTTGTCTTTGGATGCGTGAACTGATTTTTTATTGATTGCTAGAAGTAGGAGAAGATTTAGTTTAATTATTGTTTGTAGGTGTATGTTTTATTTTATTTTATTGTTAGCATCTCCAATGCTCTAATGTTGTCATAGGATAAATTTTGACAAATGTCAAAAAATTAAATAGATTGTGAACCATGTAGGAAAAATGTTGAGTTCATAATTATTAAATTAAAAAATCATCTCCAATGCACAATGAAGTCTAATTACAATATTATCTACTTACCAAATGTTAAATTTAATAAAATTAATTAAATAATTTGAAAATGGTAATAATAATTCTCTCTCTTCTCTTCATTGACTAGCTAGAGTGTGGGGGAGAATGTGGATGAACCACATTCTTCTCTACATTGTAGACATTAATTATGTCCACATCACCATAACATTTGTGATCACATTGTACATTGAAGGGTGAAAAATTGTAATATTAATAAATATGTTGATGTGGAATGTAATTTACCATTACAACATTGAGCATTGGAAATGCTCTTATTTTGGTTTCAGTCCTGGTTGTGGTTGGGTATTCCGTATTCGTTTCGACTATCGAGTGGTTAGTCTCCTCAATGGGAGTGTTTGTGCCTTTTGTTGTCAAGTGTCTTTAAGAAAAGATTTGTCAAGTGTCTATATATTTTTTGTATTGAAATTTCAATATCTTTTTTTTATACGTATAATATTTCATTACACAGGTATACATTTATATCATAAAAATGTAATTGTGTAATGGTAAATGGTTAATCGTCCTAACAGTTATGTGCAGAAACGATAATTAGAATTATTTTGTGTTAAAATCATATTTTTCTCATAACTTTGCCAAAAAAAAAATTCTTTGATTTCCTCGGATTTTTCATGATAATCCAAGTACATAAAATCTGTATACCCTTTGTATAAATTGCAATATAGAAAAATGTAAAATTTCCCATTTGGTCTCCCAAAAGCTTGTGATCAACTTTGATAAGCATTAGGGAAATATTTGGAGTATAAAAAATGCTTTATTTTCACTAACAGTAGGAAGAGAGCATAGCAGGGAACATGCATTACTGCCACCACCAAATACCTGCCAAAAAAATTAAATGTTAGTCTATTTTGGATTACATTTTTCCTATTTTCATTTATCTTTTCTGTAAATGGTTTACTTATAATAAACTAGCATCACTGTTGTTCTGAACTAGAAATTGTACTAAAGTAATTACTAAATAATAAATATCCTTTTCAAGGACAGTTCAATGAGATCAATCATATATGGGTTTATTGAATAGCAAAGTTACCAGAGTGGAGCATGAGCTGCTGATAAATCAAGAAAAGGATATGGCCNGAACTAATGATGAACAAAGAAAAAAGAAAGCGAACCAGGCTATTTAGAGCTGTATCCCCAACGAGCAAAACAGCATTAAGCGAGTGTGTTACAACTGTCAGCTAATCCAAAGAAGCAAACATATTTTCCCATAATCAGGAGGTGTTGAGAATGATAAAAACAAATTAGATAAAGCGTAGGTATATTCATGGAATCCAGAGGCCATTTTCCAGTTAAAATTTAGACATGAAAACTCAGTTTTTCAGTATTCAATGTGTGAAAATATGTAGATTGATGAAGCACCAGATATTGTTTAAGTATACAGACACTTACAAAATTCATTTCGTAATCTTTAAGAGCCATAAATGGGAATATCACACACCAGTAAATAACATCAGTTATAGTTACTGCTCCTGCTGTCATCTGCAAATGCGGAAGTATGATAATATTAGGTAACATCATTGAGTCGTCTACACAACATCAACATCTAATATACGAATTCAAATCCAAAAAGTAAAGACACGAAGTAATTTATCCAAGATATCCTTAAACATAGAACACCTTAAGAAAAACTAATAACATTGATTTTGTCATACTAATATCAAATAAATGCGATTCACATATGCAACCTTATGAAAGGCAAAGAAAGAGAGACCATCATACCGAATAAATTCCAAGAAGAGAGCGTAAGAAATAACAAGGCCCAGAAAGAGGCACAACTGTTGAACTAATTAGTGTAACTGCATGAAAATAATACTTTTCGAAGTAACTTTTATTGGTTATATCGTCTAAAATCACACAAAACAGACTATACCTGGAACAGAACTTGAAATAGACTGTCCCAAAAGCAAAGGGAGGTTCGAGGGTAGTTCAACTTTTCTAACAACTCCACTCCATCTCCATTGGCTCCATGCACTAGGCTAGCATATAAACCTTTCTCCATATCCTGTGATGAAGGGCACTTGTTTTTTCCATTTAATTTAAGCTGGTAGAAACATCCATGCATGGAAAGCAATGACCCGAGCTGCAAAACGAAACAGAAAACATTAGTCATATGAGAACTTCATCGTTATGGCTTCCTTCTATCCGCACTTGATGCCAGAACATAAATCACAAATCATACCCCAAAATAGATGGTGACTAAAACGAACGTCCACCTGCGAAAAGAAGCATATAAAAGAAGTGAGAAAAGAAAAAAATAAAATCAAGATAGAGACAAATAGATAAGACTTCTGCAAGTAAACTAACACATCAACTAACACAAAAGTGTTCCTAATAGAAAAACGACTTATAGCCGTAAAAAGCACAAAGAACAATTTTCTTTTTAAGGAAACCAAATAAGAAAAAATGACTTACTGGGTGTAGTAGAAAAATAGCTCAAATCCGTGAATAGCGATATCGAAACTCATAGCCGTAAAAAGCAGACAGAAAGCAATCACCCGAAAAACCATTAAGAAAACGGGGTGAATCCCTTTTATACAAGGTTTCCAAGATCTATTATAGTACACAAGAAACGAGCTGTCACACTGCTGTGTAGTCCCTCCTTCAGGTTCTGAATTTTCTGAGAGCTCGTATTTCCAGATTAAAATCGATGCAACAACCATAGGCATCAATACCCATAATGCACACAGAAAAAATCCCCAGTTCCACCAATAACTCAAAGAAGTGGTATCAACACTCACAAGCTGCTGCATTCTGTTTAAGACACCGAATAACATCATGCTCAAATGGTTTGCCAAAATAAATAAATAAATGTAAAAACAAAAGGTTAATAAAATGTACATATATTCACGATCATGTTTTCAATTATAACTATGTATGGGCATGTACATAGACCATCATTTTCAACTTGTCACTTCCTCTAATGGAAGTATAAACAAACAGAACATGGTGTCATGAACATGTGTAATTTGTCAATCAAACAACAACTGACTATTACACAGTGCAACCATAACAACTTTTCGAACTTCCTACAAAATATACAAAGAGCAAAGAACTCTCCATATTCCTATCTCCATCACTTCATCAATTCGTGGAATGCTCGATACCAAAAGGATTCGGAAAAAAATTTGCCCCACACAAAATCATATGATTCTTTACGGATGGCAACAACACTTTGATTTATCGGTTACCCATCAATCGAAACTTTTATAAACTGTATCTATCTCATTCATCAAAACCAAATTAAACTCCATTATTCGAATTCGATTTTGTATTCCGAAACATAATAGCGAAGGCCTCAATCTCATCTCCCCCAACTGACCAAACCAATTGTAATATTCAGCCTGAGGCACACGCATAGCCCTCTATGAAATCAACATCATAAAGTCGATATTCAACAAACAAATCTGTCCAAATATTTACATTCGTGCCATGATAGTTACGCATTAAATGCCCTAAATACCCATATTTATAAGCATAAGAAGCAAAATCTCAAGCATTATGGCAGATATTAATCAGATTATGCCATCAAATCGAGTAAATCCAAAGCTTTTGCTGAAGGAGAAAAGGGAAACTTACAGGAGCAAAGTGGACGAGCCGAGCTAAAAAACCTCAGTATGAATCAAAATTACAAATCATGAAAAAGGAAACAGAGAAAAGTGGAAAGTCTGAGTTTGGCAAATTGCAATGGAGAAAATGCGAGAAACAAATGGAGTTGATGGGATTGGAAGAGAAGAAGCTCGCTTTGAGTTTATCCATTTTTTGTATTAACAAAAACGACTTAATTTTGATTGTGTTGACGCTGCCACGTGCATTTAAATGAGTGATACTTCGATGGTCAATTTTCCTTTTTTAAGAAAGATTTTTTTTTTTTTAAAATATGTAGTTTACTAATGATAAACTTCTTGATTTGATTCATATTTGTAATTTGTTTTCACTGATCAACCCACATACGAACATAACCACTGGGAATCAGTTGATAGAACAATAATTTTTTGGTTAATATATAAGAAAATGCTATCTCAATATTCCTATGTTTATTTAGCATATTAAATGAGATTGAACGGTTTTAATGAATGGTGTATGTCTTATCAAAACAAGCCATACTTCATATGTGGATAAAACCTGTTCTCATGTGATTTTTTAAAACATAATAAATATGCGTTTATAATACAAAAATTGAAAATGTTAAAAACTAAGCAGTGTATTTCATTGATAATTTTAAAAACAATGTTATGCATTTTAGTATACTACAGATGCAGTTGTTTAGCGTACACGTGTCAATTTTTAGAGGCATCAATTACATGCTGAATGTCGGGAAAATTCTATCCTACCCATGTTGACAGTTTTGCTTGTTTTTAGATTGATCAGTATTGACTATCCTATATATAGGTCTTAACATATTAGTTCGACATATCTCTGGTCTACGTCGCATATATTTTAGGCCAACAGATCTTTTGGACAACTTCTTTGGAATTAGGTTGACATATTTTTAGTTCGGCTTATTTTGCCAACTTCAAAAACTATTGTTTATATTGCTAATTTTTTTTTTCTTCATAATTTAAGTCTTTTTTATTTGCCGCATGTCACTTTTCTATTCGTCGTGATAATAGAATCAATAAAACCAAAAAACCATCTTCATTTGTAAACAATCTTATTATAGGTAAGACAATCCATAACAAAGGAGACATGTAGAAACAAGAAGAAAGGTCTTTGTTTTGTTGGTTAATGAATTACGTGGAAATTGTGCTTGCTTACCTTCTCAATATAAGTTTGTAGATTATCTTTAAATGGACTACTTAGGACGCACCACGAGGCCCATTACTTTTTAAGATGAAAATATTGGGTTGGACTAGTTTGTTTGGGTCCAATAAAGCCCAATTTATGTGTTGGACTATTAATTCCTCATACTGGGTTGCATCAGTTTTCGGGGCTCATTAACCAGCAGTTTCCCAAAGCCCACATGAGTTGTGTAGATCCAAATAAGAACAAATTTTATAATTGCATCATTCTTTACAAATTTATTTTTATTTACGCATTTACAAAATTTTTATTTATTAATTACAATAAATATTATCTTTTAATGTTATAAAAGATTGGTTTAATATTCATTTATAACAATAGCAAAACCAAAATTATGCTTTTACTTAATTAAACCTTAAAAAATGTCATAACAAAAACTCTTTTTTCACCCCTGCATGCATGAATGAACCATGCTCTAGATTTTCTTTTTCCTTAATAANATGTAGCCATAAGAGAGCATTTCCATAAAATCCATCTCCTTTTGCAAATCAAACTGCATATTCAACACCTTCAAGCTCTCTTCATCACCCTCACCTTCTTCTACTCCATTAACAATACCAATCCTCTCCACGGACGATGAACTGACCGAATTGCCCTCGCCGCTTTTTTGTGAAGAATTTATCAAGCTCTTGATGTAATTCTGCAGTGGGCTGATGTTGTTATTGGGCTTTGAGCTCTTGTTGTTCTTGTGGGCCGAGAGCTGCCTTCTCTTGGTGGCGTTCCAGTGGTTCTTGATCGTGTTCTCACTCCTATGGGGCAGGCTTCGGGCTATCTCGGCCCACTTGTTGCCCAGTTGTCGGTGGGCCTCGATCAGGATCTTGTCTTCTTCCTCCGACCATCTATCTTTCTGCGAAATGGATGGACTTAAAAAGATTATGCCTCAAAGATCTCCTATGAAATTATCCATGAAATGTTGTATTACTACATGTTTATGAGGATACGTGTTATTATATATTTTGTGAATAATTATTTATGGGTGAATAAATAAGTCGTATGTTTTTTAGGACACGTGTTATCATATAATTTGTGAATAATTATGGGTGAATAAATAAGTCGTATGTTTTTTAAGACACGTGTTATCATATAATTTGTGAATAATTATGAATGACTAAATAAGTCGTGTTGACTATGTGAAAAATGGAATAATAATTACTTCAAATTAATATCTCTAGTACATTGTCCATGTATTATTATTATACAAATTACCTGAAAAAAGTAAATTAATTTCTTTTATGATCAATCTATAATTGTAGTAAAACTATAAATTTAAGGCGTAATAATTTTTTTTAGAGAGTTCATAATTTGGGCAACTTATGTAGCTCTTACTATAAGCAACAACGTAGATGTACAACGTAACACACGTGTGTGTGTGTGTGCAAGTGATGTATTAATTTTACTATTTTATGATTTGTTTGACTAATAAACACAAGAAAAATCCTAGTCAACTAAAGTTTTTATACATGAGAGCAAATTAATGCAATTCTAACGAATAATGCAATAGTAGAAAGCACATCTATATTTAATAATATGATGAAATTCAGTAAGTAAAAATGGTATTCAAAATTGACCTAAAAGGAAGATAATCACACACAACACACATATAAATGAGTTCAAGGGAAAACCTTAATATTAGGCTTTAAATGGTTGTGCCATCTTTCCCTACATTGCTTCCCAATTCTTCTTGGAAGCATTTTAGCAATGGAAGACCACTTTCTTACTCCATGCTTCTCCACCAACTCAACAAGCAAACTAAAATTACAACAAAAAAATAATATAATAAAACAAATTAAATATATTATATAGATTTTGAAGTTTATATTCATTATATGACATGAACCAAATACATAAGATGCAACAGATAATTCTTTTGAATTATATTCATCAAGAAACAAGAAGCACCTATCTTCTTCTGGACTCCATTGGCCTTTTATTATATCCGACTTGTCATCGATAATTCTTTTCCTCTTCGACATTTTTTTGGTGTGATTCCCATTGTCGGTCTCCAAAACCAAGCAAGAATCCATGTCCGAAAATCGACCATTCGATAAGCTCGTTTTTTTGGAATAATCCAAATCCTCGTCCATTTGATATCGATCCATCATTGAGAAAGAACCTCGCGACCGATCCACATTAACATCAACATTATCCGAAAGTGTATTGCTCGACACGTGCAAATCTTGCATATCGTGTTCTTGAACAAAAGGGGTCGTGCAATAACCGGCCGATAAATAATATTCTTGATTCGATTTTCCAAAGCACGATTGATGAAACGGATAGAAAGGGTCGTCGAACGGCGAGCAAAGAAGATCGGAATTAGGGTTACTCTCCCAAGACGAGCCCTCGACCGATGGATTATTACGATCATGATTTTTCACTTGAACTTGATGAGATAAAGCAGAAAAAACCTTATTATGATCATTTGCTTGGTGTGTGTATGGATTTTCAATGTAAGGGTTTGAATATTGACCAAGAATATTATGTCTATGGACTGTATCAAAATCCATGCAGTGAAGGAAAAGGAAAAAGAAAATGATAAAGGAAATAGAACTACAATTAGGTATCAGTATAAGAGAAAGGAAGAAAAGATAGAATAGCAAGCTGCAAGAAGGTGAGGTGTAATTGATTTATGAGTAATAAAAGGTGGGTTTTGATTAGAGTTAATGACCATTGATGTAGAGGCTAATCTCATGGAGGAGGGATATATAATGGTGACTATTAAGCTCCAAATTTAAAAAGAAATAAAAATAAATGGAGCAAATATTGATTAGCAAACTACTTTATTATCAGTCAATATCCTACTAAGCACGAGTTAATAATATGTTAATATGTCTATCAATTGATATGATAAGAAGTTAACATAAGATATAGTACATATATTTATAATTGAAGATCTAATAGACATTGGCACATACTTGGTGCGCACATATGCTTGCTTGTTTATAAATTTTTCCAAACAAAAAATCAAATTCAAACTCAAATCTAAGTAAATAATATCAAATAATCATTTTTATAAATCAAATCAACTTAATTCACTATTCACCCACTCACATAAGTTTAATTATTTATCACTTTTAATCATTTTTATTTTACTTTTACATCAAATCAACTTTAATAATTTTATTTTAAATATTATTTTAATATCACACTCAAATCTAATTAACAATTTTTTTTTTTCCAAATTAAATATGGTTAAACAAAAAAATTAACCAATAAAAAAAAAAGAAATCTATAAACAAGCACGCCAACATTTTTCGAGGTTAGAAGTTATCAAATACATGTTAGCTTAAGAATGGTATCAAGTTGAAAACACTAATTATCATGACAATTTTGATATTACTTGAACAAATGTCGATATTGTTAATTAGTTTGACAATGGTTTGATGAGCAATTTTTGTTTTCATTTTACCGCAGAATAGTAGAATACCATTCCTCATTCAACACTCCAAGTTAAAATTTTGATTTGGCACCACTAGTAAGTAATTAAATGGGTGATAAATTCAATTTATGCCTTCACGTCATTATTTTTAATTAATATAAAATTTTCATTGCATAAATTGACCTTTGACTCTTGAAATGATAGCATTAATAACTAATTAGTTAGTTAATTAAGTTCGTAGCTACGACAATTGCGAATTGACCATCTCTCAATATATATGATTGTATAAGCAAAGAATTAGTAACTAAAATTTCGTTTCACACCAAAAATCATCATTTTGCTGACTTTTATAATTTTTAGGACTACATGCATAAATCAAAAATATTTATATAGATGTCAATTATTAATTTTACGACCATTATAAATTAATAATGGGCCCAAAAATCAAAATATATTGGGTCCTAATCCAAGATTAGATTTATAAATGGACCGGGTTGATCTTACAACAACGGGTACTATACCGTCAATGGGCCTGTAGTGAAGGTGCTGAATAAGGAGGGCCCATAATTTCTGAATTTGTACGTGGATAACTTGATTCTAATAAAATAGCTATGAGTTAAGAAATGATTACCAAAAGCCCAACAGTTGTCCCGAGTATTTGGTGTAATATTATTATTATTAGTATGTACCCGTACATGGCACGAGACTGAGATATTAAATGAGTTATTTTCACAGGCTATGTCCGTTTAAAACTAAAAAGCAATAGGTTATTATATATTTTTCCACTTCTTTTAATCAACGTTAAGTCTAAAAAACAAACAATAGGGTCATAATCTATTTTCCACCTCTTTTAATCAGAGTTATTTTCCTAGCCATAACATTAAATATGAGCATGTTAGCTTTTAAAATAATTAATATATTATCTCACTAACACATTTTTACTAATATAATTCGAATGTAGTATATATATTTATTCTTTGATATAAGTGAAAATAACAGTTTTATATATTCTTGTTCACCATGTAATACTTAATTATTTTTTTATTATAAACTTTGTTGTTATATAATGTCATTATTATTTATAAAAGTTATAGAAGCTGTATGTCTTTTTTTTTTATGTAATGAAGAATATTTAATGCACATTAGTATTATTTATTTATCTAATCAATTTAAAATATGTAAATAAATTTAAATTTAAATAGTGTATAAATATTTTACAAAATATACACACATGTTTTTTTAAAATTTAATTTTGTATACTTATTAAACAACTTTAATTTAGCAAATGCCAAAACCTCAATCTTTTCTATAATCCAAATTTTTCTAATATGCATTATAAAGATTTATAGTTTATTTAGTATACTTTGCAATGAAAATATATTTACAAGAATTTCATTATAAAAAAGAAATCAAAATAAAAGAATGATAAAAAAAAAAAAATCATTGTTGCCAATAACATGAAAATAAATTCTAAAGAACATTTAATATATTTCAATTTTTATTTTTGACCAGTAGTAATAATATTTAATGTATCTGGTCATTATCTCTTACATGATAAATTATAATAATTTCAAGAATAATTTATTTTTTATATATAATGAAATAAATCTTAAAAAAATTATATTGACAAAATTAATTCACCGACTTGATTTTGCCTGGTTAATTGGGAGAAAAAATTCTACCTAACCTGTTACGATTTTCTATAAATATTTTTGGTTAAAAAATAAATATTTGTGAAAAAATTAATATTATGGTTAGAACTTAATATGTTGCAATATTTATCTTGACCAAAATATTATCAACACGAATCATATAAAATCAATCTTCTATTTTATTATAATGGATACCAATGAAATTATTGCAGATATTAATAAAATTTTAAGGAAATAATATTTTTAGTCATATCTGATCTGATCTTATTTGAAAACGTGTATATGGAAGCAATTAATAATGATATATTTAAAAAAGAAAAAGATATACATTAAATGCTTCAAAATTTTTTACTACTATTTTTAGTAAATGGTTATACTCATTATATATATATATATATAGAGTTGGAATCATATTAGAATGGTAGATAGTGAAAGAAATGAGAATGGTTGTGGACCATTAGATCCAGCATATCAATTGTCATGATCTAGTCAAATATTAAATATACTAGTCAAACATGGTGTGGCAGTGTTGTAAATATGTGTATAATTCATAGTCAAATATTGGCATTTGACAACAAATTAAGGATAAATTAGTCATTTGATATCAACCCTTCAACATGTGGGGTCCACCACCACCCAACCTTTAACCCTAACACCCACCTACACCCGTATCACATACCTCATTCATCACTTGCACCTACAAACACACACACACACACACACACACACAAACACACACAACATTCCCGTTCACGGCCAGGCACACGTCGGACCACCAGAGCAGTCGCCCGGCGCCGACTTGCTTGTCCGGCGATGAGCCGCTCCATCCTCCCCCTCTCTCCAGAAGTCCGGCGTTCACGGACTCACGACTACAGAAATCCAGCAGTCACAGCCCCATTCGCCCGCCACCACGCCCCCCCAGTCTCCCGCGCTATAGAAATCCGGCAGCCATGGCTACGCAGCCCCGCCGCAGCGCCTCCCCAGCCCAGCCGACGTGCATCCTCAGCCCGTATGACGCGCCTCCCATCCCGGTCGCCGCGCCTCCATAGTCCCGCTCCCATGTCGACGGCGATTAGCAGGTCATGAAGCGTCTCTGACGGTGATTAATAAAACCAGATCCATGACAGGAGGAAGCCGGTCACGGAAGTTTCGAAGATGCCGTCTATTCTAAATCCCATCGTAGATCTCATTCCCGTCCACCAATTGTTATGCAGTGGCTTGAGTAAATCTGAGTATTGAGATTCTGTTGAAGGACGAGAGAGACACAGATTCGATTTTAGAATTTGTGACTTTTGGAAAATAGAGGTTTGATTTTTGTAAATTAGATAAGTCCCAGGGACTTGTTTGCAATTTAAGAAAATTTAATATATGTATATAGGCGCACCGCACGTCAAGTCTTATGTCTGACGTTTCCCATTCTTTTGACATGAACTTGGTTAATTGGTCAAAAGCCAATAGCATTTACCGCCCATTAGATAATTTTGGAGCATGGAAAATAGACAATTTAATGGGTACAATTTGCAATTTATTACAATTTCAAAATTGAACAATATCAATTAAATATCTACACAATATTGTGTGCGTATACGCACATTAAAAACTACTGTCATGTAAATTGCACAATATTGTGTGTAAAACTAATACATACGCAATTTCGATAAGTAAATTGCACAATATTGTGTGTAAATATGCACTTTAAAAGTTAAAAACATATAACCAAACCGAGATATAAAATTTAAACCAAAATTAATTCGATCAAGTTCAGATGCTATTGTGCAATCTGTTAGTCAATAATGAGCAATATAGTAGTCATTAATGTGCAATCCGTCTAAATTATTGTGCACTAGCAGTGCATTAACTTTTTATATTGTGCCCAAACCAAACTAAAATCGAACGAACTATTTGGTTTATTTGATCGGTTAACCGAATTCACATAATTAATTGAAACAAATTATATTTTATATTATAAAAATATATTTGGTATTTTAATAGTTTATTTATTATTTATATATATATATATATATATATATATATATATATATATATATATATATATATATATATATATATATATATATATATATATATATATATATATATATATATATATATATATATATATATATATATATATATATATATATATATATATATATATATATATATATATATATATATATATATATATATATATATATATATATATATATATATATATATATATATATATATATATATATATATATATATATATATATATATATATATATATATATTGTTGTAAGAACTTAAAATATAAAAATAGAAAATAATAGTTTTTGTTTTATAGTTCGATCAATTCGTTTATTTTAAGAAGAAAATAAAATTGACGTCAAACCTAACTAAGCACAAAAAATAAATAAATAAAAATAAAGTACAAACAGATAAACGAACCAAAATATAATATTCGGACCCAAAAAACATAATCGATCAATTT